ATTCTAAAATAGGAACATTTAAAAATAATTTAATTCAGTTCTGAATAAGTTAAAAAAGTTTCATTAAAATCCGACAATTATTTGATTTTTGCAAGAATTTTCAAATCATTGTATTTTTTACCGCATAAAGACGCTCAGATTTCCTGTACAAATTTAAGGTCTCGCGTTGACGCCAGTAAACAGGATTTGAAGCCAAAATTTCGAATGTTCTAAAAAGGATAAAAAAATTTTTTTTTTTTTTTTACATAAAAAATTCTTCGATCTTTCTTCTTAATAACACAAAGGTTTTGACGATAAAACTTTTATTTTTATTATACTTTACATTTGTGCATTTTTTTCATCATGCATCGCCTTTAGTGTTTTTTGGAGATACCTAATGAAATAACATTATAATATTCTTTTTTACATAAATGCCAAAAGTTTTATTAAAATGTGGGGGTCAATTGCCCTCACTAATTTAGATTAGACGCAATGCCACAAATAATAACAACAACAAGAAACAAGAAGATTCAGACAAGAGAAATTGTACAAATAAATAGATTTTATATAACAAATAACTACAACACAATAGTTATGAGTGTTGTTTAAAATGGTGAAATAAACTTGTCTTTTTTGGTTTTTCTGTGAGGTAATGTTCCAGTTTGATAGACTGCAAGTAGTAGGGTAATTTGTGTGAAAGTGGAAAATTTCAGTTCGATGTAGTATTGTCTGTGTTCAAAATAAACAGTTCAAAGTTTATGGAAAAATCGTGTGTGTACTTGTCTTACGCTATGTTTGACGTTTGAGTGTCTATCGCTTCGTTGTTTGCTAACGTTTAGTTTAGTTTGCCTTGAACGAAGGAAATAGACTGTGGTTATCTTAAAAAAAAGATTTTAACTTATAGTCTGGACTTCAGTTGAAAGTTATTTTATGATGAATATCGTTATGTAGCATATAACTTTTTCGGCGCATTTTCCCCTACTCTCTTTGTTTATTAATTGTTTGTTGTTTACATAAGCAATATAAGTCATGTGATAGGCTCCAGAAGATGTTTTTAAATTTTGACGCAAATGTACTCTTGATCAGGTCAAATTAGAGTCAGACATGTGAACGTAGTATACGACATGCCATGTGATATTTTTGAACCAATCAAATTACTTAGTTGTGTAATTTAATTTGGAGCCTCTATGTTTTGTTCAACTTTTAAAGTTTTGAGAACAATATAGGGATCTGTATACTATAAAAGTCTAATAATTAAATAAATTTTTGATGACTTTTTTAAATCGACGAGATTTTACGACACAAAAAGTAAAAGTCAATATTGACAACAGTATTTACCCAAATTGAACAACGTTTTCAAACGCAAATATTTCCGATTCTACTTAAATAAAATGTAGAAATAATATTTTATCATTTTTTTTTCCACTCTTTCAGCTTCCGACTCGTAGAAAAAACGACCATAAAATTAAGTTTTATAGATGCTTCCTAGCTTTTTATTATTCTGGTGTCACTTTTCCGGCATGAAAATTAAAGATACCTACTACAATATGAATGCAATTTTAGTGCACTGCTGCTGTGGACTCTTCCACAACAAGCCAGTTAACCCCTGCTAGGAAATGCACTATTCCTGTTATAATTTTCACCATCACAATCTTGCAAATATTTAACAAGCATTCATTGGTCAATCACCGTCAATCTAGCTTGATGATTGGTCAGTTCCGACCAATCAAACCGCCTGCACGCGACAAATCTGTTTTCCCGCTCAATATGCTTGGAGCCTCCACGTTATACACAACCATTATAAAAACAGAACACGTGTAAGCTCCCTGGGTTGTTTCTTTTCTTTTATCTCTCTCGCGTTTCATTTGCCAAGATGTAATCTTCAAGAACTCCCGTCTTAACTAATGCAGTCAGACGTTAAAGACCATTACCAACATTCACGCAAGTACGAACTCTGAAATCTCTTCTGAACTTTTACCAACTTGTACAACACACAATTCCAAGCATGCTAATGAAATTTTATTCTTCTAAACTACAGTTTAATAATTACTTTCAATTTATGAGCTTAGATACAAATATTTACCTAATCTAAGGGACACAACTCTGTCTAAACTTTTCACTCTGTATTCATGCATGTATACCAAACACTAATAAATACATTTGTTACGTTTTGAAACAAAATGTTTATGAATCTTTATTTCTCTATCTTTTATTAATTGTTGTAGATGGAAGATTATTGAACACACACAATTTTGTAGGCGAGTCCCCCATATCGCTAAAAAAAGTGGTATACCCTGGACAAAAAAGTCCCCAAATTGATAAAACAATTTTTAACGTGTAAATATTTGTTAGTATTAAAGAGGGAAGACCAAAGTATTTTCTGAATATTTTTTCAGATTTTTTAATCCTTCCTATAATTTTAAAAATTTTATTTAAAAATTTTGTTTTTTCTTGATTCAAAAGAATTTTGTAAATTCGGCCTTATCGGCCTTTTTGTCTGACTTTGTAAACAAAATCAAAATTAGTTAGTTTAAAAATCCTATAAAATTCAGTTACACCTTTTTCTTTTGTTATTTTAGGAAAATTAGAAAATTTAAAGTAATTTGAAAGAAACATTACTTACTTTTTTATCAGAAAATGTTTTAAGAGAGACATTTCCAACCGTGGTGTTTTGCGCGTGTTTGAGATAAGAACAAAGAGTGACAAAAAAAGTGGGGTCAACACTGGGATCAACAATAATAATGGTTTGGTGTGTTGTGTGTTTTTTTTTTTTTAAGACCTGGAGTGATGACAGCAACACTTAGCAAATAACATACTTTTTTTCGCCGCATGACTTTCATATGATAAAAATAAAACAAGCGTTTTAAACAGCTGTATCAGTTATGATAAAATATTTTTATGAGAATCAAAGCCATTGCGCTGTTTTCTTGCCTAAAATTGAATATAAAATAAAAAAGGAAATAATATTTGCCGTTTGTCTCACACTGAAAAAAAAAAGGAAAAGTTGTTTATATTTGAAAATTGAAAAGAAAATTTTGAAAATGCGACGATATTCAGTCAGAAAACTTGACAAGCGTTGTGTTGCTAACTGAACGAATGCAAAGCAATTTCTGAAAAACAACTTGCTTCTATCAAGGGAAACTACTCACATGACATTATTTCAAAGCTGTGCATCCATACTTTCGTTGGAAACGATTTTAAATACAATTTTCGAATATTAAAAAAATATTTTAAAAATATCAACGTTTGTCAGATTTTAATAAGCTTTCAAATTTATAATCTTTAAAAAGTAGAGAACATAATATGTAATTTCCATAAGGTTTCATAAAGAAACTTAATTTTAAAATATATAACAACATCTTGTCATATTTAAAAAAAAAGAAAAAATTATTGTAAAATTTCATTTTTCATCAAAATTTTTTTTTCTTTCAGATAAAAATTACCTTAGTATATGTTATTCAGAAAAGTCATTAAAAGCTTTTTTAATTAAATATTGTCTTAGTTTTATTGGGTTTTGTATTTTTACAATTGAGGTAAAAGTTTGGACAATTTGGCGCATTTTTTTACCAAAAAAAATCGATGATTTAGAATCTTCAGAGTCTTGTGCATTTAATTAAAAAAAATTCAGGTTGCAAAAATAAATTTTTGAAGTTTTCATAAAATTAAGTTCGAGGGGTGTAACAGATATAAAAAATATATTCATACCATGACTTTCAAAAAGACAAACATTTCTAAAATAATTTCATTCATTTGTGAATAAGTTCTGAAGGTTTCATTAAAATCCAACAAGTACTTGATTTTTGCAAGATTTTCCAAATCAATGTGTTTTTTCAACTGAAAACAGTGAAAAACAAGTAATGCTAATATTACCTAATTTTTGACCTAAAAAAAAACAAAAAAAAACAAGATTTTCAACCTAAATTTAAAACATGCGACAAATGAAATTTTTTTTTTTTAAATAATTGAAAAATACCTTGGTCTTTCGTCTTAATAATAACAAACTTTTTCACGATAAAATTTTGTTTTTATTAAGTTTGGGGCCTTTTCTTTTCATGTTATGCGTTTTTTGAGCGAAGAGATGGACATTAAGCCTTCTGATAATATTCAAACCATCTATTCCTCTCCAACACACACATCATACATCCGCAACACTGTGGACGCCACTAAAGGTCTTTGATGCGAATGCTTGTGTGGGGAAATAAATAATTGAATAAATAATACCTTGTCTCAGTAATCCAGAAAAGAAAATGAATTTGATGAATATTTGACAATTAATATTCCTTTATTTATTGTTTTCTTTTTATTAGTAAATTTTGAGCGTTAAAGTTTATTTCATTAAAATGCAAGACAATAATTTCTACAAAGAAAATATTTATGTAATTTAATAATGATTTAAAAAATAATGGCACAACATTCTCCCAATTAGTATCTAACTCGCTCCTCAGTCATAATGATCTTTTTAGCAAGACAAGCTTCTTACACCATGTCGAAGAGCCCCTAATGACTTTCCAAGCGTATCTTACATAAAACACAAAGCCGAAAGTGTGGAGTACCCAGTGAAGACTGAACTCATTAGACAAGCTTCGACACAACGTCAAAGTAACCCAAAACGAGGAAATGCGATCAATAATTTACACGTTAACTCTTTTTACGCGACACTGTTTGTGCATTATTTTTTTTTTACACCGGTTGTGTTAGAGTTATCTCCCCCTAATATGAGGTTTGTTGTTAGCAATTTCCCAAGAATGACGCTATGTTTATGTCACCCGACAGTTCTTGTATTCTTCTTAGGTTTGGTGGTACTCGTCTGGACAGACAAAGGTACAAGGGACCTCACGTTGGAACCTGGACACTTACAAAGGTTTGGCTCTGGTCGACCAAACCACCCAGTCGATGGAATTGACGGGTTTCCAAGCCCGGAACTTTTCTTCAGAAAATATGTCCATGCTTCTCGGCCTTTGAAGATGAAAGGCGCAGCAATAGATACGGCGGCTTTTAAACTCTGGACAGACAATTATTTTATGTCTCTTGATATCGATCCTAATTCGACAGTTTTTGTGGAGAGTGCGAAAAAGGAAAATCGTTCTGGTCCTTCACAGCATATACACTTCAAGAAATTTGTTGAAACTTACAATAGTTCTGATAATTATATGGTCCAAGATGTCCCTGTCTATCTAAGGTGAGTAAATAAATATTTAGTAAATAAACAAATATTATTAAGTAAGTGTGTAAAGAAAAAAAAAGAAGACTTTTTCAAGCTTTTTCACAAGTGAAAGTATTTCATTTTAAATCGGACTGACTTTGCAGCAATTTTTGGACTTTAGAGAAAATTGAACTTTAAATTAATAAAATTAAAAATAAAATGAGTTTTACAAAAATGATTCTAACAATTCCAGAGTGAATGCATTTTGCAATATACTTAAGAAAATAAATACTTGTAGCAACGTAATGATTTTACCCAGTAAATATTTATTTTTCAACATAACTTACTACCTTCCTATTCGGATAAAAATTCATATTGTCAAGCTTCGAAATTAATGATTTGACTTCGTATATTTTTTAACTGTCATTTTTTTAAATATTTTCTAATCAAGTGAAGTTAAAAATCGATTGACCGGAAAAATAACCAAAATTTTTTAAATTCCTGTAGTGTAGTGTAAATAATTTATTAATTAAATTGTTTTTTTTTTTTTTTTCTTATTACTTTTTTTGAAAGGGTTCTAAAATTGTATTACGAAAAATATTATTCGCGTTATTTTAAAAACTAAATTTCAAATGTTTACATTTTTATTTGTAATTGCAATAAAACGAGTGACTTGAACTTTTCCCAATTACGGGAACTTTTTTAAAAGATAGAATAATTGAATAATTGTATTTATGCTCTTTTTTTTTTTTTTTTTAAATTTTGGGTGGTTGGGTAAAGCAAAAAAAAAGTCATTATTAGGAATGTGAATAAATTGACTCTGTAAAATGAGGTATCGATTTATAATAAAAATCGATATCCCATTTAAAAAGTATTGGTCCAAATTTGCAGGCAGATAGCAAATAGAACATCAGGTGTCGCAAAAACGAAAATAGTGATCGATATACATTTTTATTATTTTATTGTAAGTATCTGAAGAAGACAAAAATTACAATAGACTTGTTCAGCCTCATAGTAAAGAAGGTCTCTTTTTTTTTTTCCTGTGTTCGTAATTGTTGATCAATTCCACTGGGCTGTAGTGATTATGTTTGCCACGCCTACATTTTTCTCAACTGTGATTGATCAAATAATATATACTAAATATCACAGAACAAATTACTGATCGCATTCACCACACTGAACTTTTCCTACCGTTACTCACAAACATGTTTTTTTTGTTATAAAATCACCGATTGGTTAATTTTTCATCCAATTGGATATTTTTCGTGTTCTTTCAAAATTTATCCTGTGTTCGTGCTGGGAGCCAACAATAGTAATATAAGTTTGGATTCATTCCCAAATTAACCAGTAGAGTTGAAAACAGTAGAACTCAACTACTCACACGCGTCTACACAGATTATATTCACTCTACTCACACACTTGAATATCATACATCATCAGTTCTCTGTGTACAAGCCAAGTTGCAACAACTCTGTTAGTTACGAAACACACAACTGTACGATCTTCTGAATACACATTCTATTTTAACACAGAACTCTGAACATTATATTTAGAAAACTTGCTTATTTAAATATCACCATATTCAGCTAACAGATAAAGGGAAACTACTTTTTTTCTCCTTATTCACACATTACACAAATTACCTTGTATTTGTTCTTGATTTTAATATATATGTTTTATCGTTGAAGCACAAATCGGTTTTCCATTGTTTTTCCTTGATTTTAAAAAGTGTATAAATGTTAAATGCTCTTCAACACGCAGCTACACTAATCTTTTCAACAAAACACCATTTACATTAGTAACCCCAACACTTAAGAAAGTAGCATATACAGGTCCAGTTTATTTTTACAGGTATTTTTAGTCCAATTGAACATTAGATGTCACAAGAAAAACAAACAAAATAATTATGTACATTGGGAACCAAGTCATAAAAAGTAATCAACTTTAAACTGGAATTATCATTACAGTTTTAAATTGATTATTTTAAAATAAATTTCTATGCAGGTATGAAAATTGAAAAGTTTTTCCAACAAACGAATTATATCATTAGAAAAAATAACTTATTTACTAATTCTTCTGTGTGTCATTTGCCTGTCAACCATTTAGACAAGATTGTTAGGTAGGTTAGTCTCTCAGCTCCTCTTGCCTTCACTATGGTCTCTGAGTGCCAGATTCTCCAAGCTCTCTGTCCTTATATCATAAAGCCTACAATTGATTCTTTCTGATTCTAAGTATAAGTGTTATTTTCATTTCCATTTTCTTTAAAACTTCCTCGTTGCTCACATGCTCTTTCTATAGTATTCTTAGCATTCTTCTGTAGAACCACATTTCTTTGGCCTCAAATCTCTTCTTTATCTTTGACGAAATTGTCCAGCATTTAGTGTCAATACTATTTTCTTTGTCAGTAACGAAATTTTCCTGTTTTTTAATACTTTGTTTAGCTTATTGAAAAGCATTTTTCACTATTCCAGTGTGTGTTCAGTTTTGTAACTGACTTCTTAGGCAGCACAGTTCATCACATTACTGTTCAGAATTCAACGAGATGTTATTACATTGAAAATTAACCCATTTTAGAGCCAGTTCTTTGTGACTATTTGCCCATAACTGGGATCCTAACAGGTGTTACCACCCCGGGTCAGGGTGGACCTGTGGACAACAGCAATTAAGAGGTGGTTCCATGCTCCTCGAAACCTCCCAGTCAACGACCTTGCTGCCAGATGTAGTTTATTGTCATACCAAGGACAATAATTCTAATTAAGCTGTCAGTTTGATTTGCTGCCTTTTAGTAGTTGTATATTTATCTTGTCAGATAAAGATAGAATTCTGTTTGGTCAAATTCAGTCCTTTGGTCGTGAGAGTGCAGCGACCTCTCCAGAATGTATCTCTGGCTGATGATATATGGAGACTGTGCACTGCCCAGACCCACATCCCTACTCCAGCCATACCGACAAGATCCAAAGGAATACAGGGCATTACATTTGGATCCGGCTTGGCTGCAGGAGTTACTGGAAATTTGTCAGTGTTGACAGCTAACTGCCTTCAGGACTCCACTCCAGATTTTCTATCTAAATTTATTTCCATATCCTTTTCTGTGTTTGGATATGTCTGCAAGATAACTGAAGTTTAAAATTAGAGTTTTATTTTGCCTAAATGGACTGCTTTCCCTGGTTGGCAAGGTCCATCTACTTGGATAATAATAGTAATAAAAATTGATATTTTAAGTTATTACTTAATAATAGTAAGTACTCAACAAAATATCAGTTTTAAACATGCCATCATTTTTTTTTTCTTATAATATCTTTGGTTTGTCTGTCAAGTTTTTGTAGGTCTTTTTTGAGTTGCTACTAGTTAAAACCACCATTCTGTGATGGAAGGCCATATGTGTGGCCAGTGAAAAGCTATTTGGAAAGCAGGTGGCTAATTAACATACTCATTACTCTCCATGACAGTTGAACCTTTACATAATTCTGTCACTGTTTTTGTCAGTGCTAACATTAGAAATTTGCAATATAAGATTTGTTTTGTTAAATAAAATTCAATTTATTAACATGTTTCCTGCTACCTTGGATATTTGAGCACTTACATAATGCCATCTATATTTTTGTTAGTCACCATTAGAAACTGTTACATAAAACTATGCTTTATTTTGGTAAAATTACTATTATTCAACAATTTCTTGGACTAAACTATTATTTCACATGCCAAAATTTCTGATTCATGCATAAATAATCATAGTTGTGTCATTTTTGACAAATACAATACTAGTTATTATGAGTTTTCTAGAAAATTCAAAGATTTTGCCACATTTTTAAAATAAGCTATGATTACCTTTGAATAAAATTTAATTTTTTGGTCCTATTTTAGTAAAAAAAAAAAAAATTTATTACAGCACATAGAACAAATGCAATAAATTGTTTGTGGGGGTGAAGATTTTGTAAGGATTATCCCACCTTGTCTGTCAAGTGGCATTCTATTCAGGACTATAAAAGGAAAAAACATAAACATTCACACTCTCTTTTGGTTCCAGGATGTGGGAGGTAGATGACATGTCCAGTTTTCCTCTCCAGAGAGACTTAGTCATATGACAAACTAGCTACTTAATTTCCCTCAACTACGTGGTGTAATCCCACACTCACAGCTGTGCACAGTACAGCTAAGTACATAAATGTCTTTCTTCCTTTTGTTTTGAGCTATCTGTACACATGTAAATAATTTTCTTTTTCTCTTCTTTTGCAAGCTATGATATTTTTTATATAAATATGTAAGAAAAATCCTCCATGTCTTTAATTTATAATTTTTAGTTATTCTAAAAGTTCACAACTGCATCTATTTTAAAGTAGCACCTCTCTGGTACAATTTAAATATGGGAATATGGATATGTTCTTTTTTTTTTTTTTTGGGGGGGGGGGGGGTACTGTGTCTGCCCAAATATGTATATATGCACACTTGTTCATATATGCACTTAGATTTTTTTCTATTTATTTGAGCATATCTAAACTTGATTTGATTTTCTTCTTCTTGTTCAGGAAAGATGTAATGATACCCTGCAATATCCAGTGTGCTGAGCTCTTTGAAAATGGTCTTGTGGCCACCGTAAGTCTTGTCCTTTTTCTCCAATTTACTTGATGATATGGGCA